ACGGAAGAAAGAAACTTCTGTTTGTCTCTTCCTACCCCCCTTCTCCTGCTGGTAACCATAAGTTTGTTTTCTATGTGAGTCTGTTTCTGTTTTGTAAATAAAGTTTCTTTTTTTTTTTTAGATTCCACATATAAATGATGTCATATGTCATTTTTCTTTCTCTTGCTGGCTTACATCGCTTAGAATGACATGCTCCAGGTCCATCCATGTTGCTGCAAATGGCATTATGTTATTTTATGATTCTTTTATGGCGAAGTAGTATTTCATTGTATAAGCATACCACAACGTACTTATCCAGTCATCTGTTGATCGTAAGGTTAGGTTGGTTCCATGTTTTGGGTATTGTAAATAGTGCTGTTAGGAACACTGGGGGTGCATGTATCTTTTTGAATTAAGGTTCCCTCTGCATATATGCCCAGGAGTGGGATTGCTGGATCACAGGGTAAGTCAGTCTCCTTTCAGTTTTTTGAGGAATCTGCATACTGTTTTCCACAGTGGCTGCACCAAACTACATCCCCACCATCAATGTAGGAGGGTTCTCTTTTCTCCACACCCTCTCCAGCATTTGTCATTTGTGAACTTTTGAATGATGGGCATTTTGAGTTGTGTGAGGGGATACCTTCATTCATTGTAGTTTTGATTTTTGTTTCTGAGATAATTAGCAATATTGAGCATTTTTTCATGTGCATATTGGCCATGTATTGTTTGGAGAATTCCTTGTTTAGTTCTTTGCCCATTTTTGGATTGGGTTTATTTCTTATTAAGAAAATTAATTAGTTTTAGAATGAAGGCAGAATAGATTTCCAAATGAACACACACAGTTTGCCATCTGGAGACTGATGTAAGGATATACTTTAGTCAGAAGGAAAATGATCTGAGAGAGTCTGAAGCAGAAAGAGGTGACTGACTGGTTTTAAAATGCTAAAGTGTATGTAGGCCGATCTACACGACTACTGAGCTCCACCGTAACACTGTGAGAACCAGTGAACAAATTCAGGAACGTTCCAGGGTACAAAATCAATATACGAAAGTCAGTTGTGTTTCTGTACACTAATAACAAAATACCAGAAGGAGAAATATGGATAACAGTCCCGTTTACAATGTCCTCGAACAGAAAAAATTACCCAGGAATAA